GGCCCAGGCTGTGTTCGCCGGGAGCAACGAGCACCCCGACCCTTCCCTGCACCCCTCTGTCCCCGCCCAGTCTAAACTCAGAGTTCCAGATCACGCACTGCTGTGTCGGCCCTGCCACTTCGCCAGGCTGGACCTCAGGGTCCCGCTTGGAAGAAGGGCCCGGCAGCCCCAGGCACCTGGGAAGACAGACCCGCAGGCCCTGACCGGTGCCAGGGGCAGCCGTTGTGTGGCAGGGTCAAGGGGCAGTCGCCGCCTGGCCAACCTGTCCACCCTCTGGCTTCCTAGCCCGCGGCTCCCACCTGCGGGCGCTCTACGGGCGGGCGGCGGCTACAGACCGCAGATCCCAGGGCTCAGCTCTGCGCACTGTCCTTTGCTTCAGCCAAAGTGCTGCCTGTGACCACCGTGTCGCCCTAACAGCGCCCTCCCTGGACCTCTCGGAGCCCAGTCTTCCATCTCGCCACTCTGCTCATGTGGGTGCGCTGGGAAACCCCAGGTCTTACCGGCTCCACCAAGCACAGCAACCACAAACGCTGCGAGGTGGAAACTGAAAACATTAATTACTGTGACTCCGCATCCCACCCCTGCATTTGAGGGGGGAGGGTCATCCCGTTTAGCCACCGGACACCAGCAAAGGCTCCTCCTCTGCCCCTTCACAGCCCCGCACCAGGAGCACGGGGCCCCCTGACCCTGCAGGGCCCAGGGACCCCCAGTCCACCCGCGAGCAGCTGAAGGGAGGTCAGACCCCCATGTCTGTCCTTCCTTACCCTATGTCTCTGCCATCTCCCCATCTTCTCCCTCCTGTCTCGCTCCTTCTCTCTGTCTCTCTTTGTACTCCAGTAAAATGAACATGAGAAAATTCACTGTTGTAAAGCACAGCGACCATTAGGGGCACTTTGAACATTTACACCTTTTCGCTTATCCACCTTTCTCTCTCTTGGTTTGCCCGTCACTGTGAATCCATCTTTCCATGTCTCTCGATGTCTCACTCAAATGGTCCAGCCCGTCCCCCGCCCCGGTCACCCCCCCTTCCCACCTGTCTCCCCCTTTCTGCGTCTCTGTCCCTCTTGTTCTATCCTTCTTAGTCTCTGCATTTCCAAGCCTGACAAGTGAGGGAGAGGGAGACCAGACTGTGGGCACTCCACCCTGCCTCTGTGGTTTGAACTTACCACTTGGGGCATATTCACACCTGGGGCCAGTGCTCAGGGGACCATAGGGGGATTGGGGTCACATTCTCTAGCCCGGAGGCCCACGCCAGTGGCTCAGGATGTCTGGGGTCACCCTCCAGCCTGCCAGAGGACACAGGGTCTGGAAGTAACCACCTCACACATCTGCGTGGCAGCTGGGGGTCCATGGTGTCCCCTTCCGTGGGCCTCACTGTAGCCCAGGCAGAGAGAAGGGAAGCCACTTGCCAGGGTCCCACAGCTGAGAGGAGGTGACGTCAGCGAGGCCGGGCGTCCAGACAGGTCTGGCACGGGGAGGGGGTGGGGCTAGGCGCTACCCCGCTTCCTGACCCCGGCATGCCTGCACTCTCCAGGCCATTGAACCTACTTGGGCTTGTTTTTGTAGCCCTGGGCTCTTTGCACTTGCTGTCCCCCTGTCCTGAATGCCCTTCCCGCTGACCCCACGCTGCCCACTGCTGCATGGAGAATCGCAGCAGGTAGTAAGGGTATTCCCCCCGTCACTGCCCACCCTGTCTACACCTTAGAGCGCTTAGCACCAGCTTTCTAAAACATCTTTGTAGTGACAGTATGTGGCATCGCCTGAGAGTTAAGAAGGCCACCACGCACCCTTGCTGGTGTGTCCTGGGGCAAGCTACTGCATTCTGCACCTTGATTTCCTCCCCTGTAAAATTAGTCGAATGACATCAGGGCCCAGGTCATGGTGTTGTGGGGAAGAGTAAATGAACAGAAATCAGAAGGTGCTTTGAGCAAGCCCAAGTAGGTTCAATGGCCTGGAGAGTGCAGGCATGCCGGGGTCAGGAAGCGGGGTAGCGCCTAGCCCCACCCCCTCCCCGTGCCAGACCTGTCTGGACACCCGGGCCTTGCTGACGTCACCTCCTCTCAGCTGTGGGACCCTGGCAAGTGGCTTCCCTTCTCTCTGCCTGGGCTGCCCGTGGGCGTCTCAGTGAATACCTGCAGTGTTGAGTGCCAGATGGAGCAGTTCCTCGTGGGGGGGGAAGGAGGAGGCCTGGGCGCCAGACGGCACCGGCCTCGTCTCTGGGCCGCGGGCAGCTTCTGGCCTCTTGGGAATCTCCCTTCCCTGCTGCAGGTCCCCAGCGGGAGAGCCCGTGAGCCGAGATTTGGCCCTCACAGCCGAGCCTGGCCAGCTTTCCAGAGATAAAGCGGAGCCGCTTCGCCCTTCCTCTGTTATCTGAGCTGAGATGCGGCCAAGGCGCTCTCCCCTCGGAGCCCTACGGGCGTTATCACAGGCAGAGTGCACATCACCTCCCAGGAATTTGGGGCCCAGGGCCCGGCTGAGGCACACTTGGAGGAAGTTCCTGGCCGATAAGGCCAAGACTGAATGCTCAGCCGGGCCGGTGTGTGCAGGCGGCGGACTCACATCAGAGACAATTTCAAAGGCCCCCAGGCCCTGGGACACCAGGACTGGCCACCCACATGGGGGAGAGGGTTCCCTGGGTCTGCGCCTGCTGGTACGCAGCCTCTCCTGGCCCCCGCGAAATGACGGTGTGGACCCTGCCGCCGTGTGACCTCAGCCCAGAGACAGCCCCATGTGACATCAGCAGGGCTGCAGCCGGCTGGCCTCTGTGCCCTCGTCTGGAAAGTGGCTCCTGCTCTTAAGATTGATAGGAAGATGTGCAGCGAGTGACCAGCTCTCCACTGTCTTTGCCGCAGATGGCACCTCACCGCCGTGAGAACAGCCCAGGCCTAAAGCCCAGAGCCGGCAAGCGGTGACGGCGTGGAGGCAACGGGAGCCCTCTTCCTCTGTGGGCGGGAGTGTCCCTTGGGCGGCCCCCATGGAGAACAGGATGGGGCTTTTTCAAAACACCAAGAAGGTCCTGCTCCACGTTGGGGGCTCCCTCTCGTGGTCTCCCCGCCAAGATGCAGAGACACTCATTCGCAGGGGATCTGCGCTCCTGTGTCCAAGGTGCTACCTGTAAAAAGCCAGTTGGGAAAACAACCTCAGGGCCCAAGGACAGAGAGGGGATTACGATGTGGCAGATACACAGAGTCGGTGCCACTCGGCGATGAAGAAGCGACGGGGGGAGCAGCTGACTTCGGATCCCAGAGCTAGCGGGTTCCCCACCCTCCCGACGCTCCAGCCCCCTCGCTCACCACGCCTCAGCAGCCTCTTCTCCAGTCCAATGAAAGGCTGACTGCACACTGAGGACAACCCCACCTCCGTGCCCTTCCACCCCCCAGCGATGCGGAGAACCTAATTTTCCTGACCACTCTTCAGATAGGAAACGTAACTCTCGAGAATGCACACAGGGACTCAGGCTGACTCCATGTCATTTCAG